TGTTCTTGGTCTTTATTATGTTGTTTGTTCACTAATCTATTCTAACAAATCTGCAAGAATAACTGGATTTATATCTAGATTAAATTTGATTTATCCTGATAGTTGGTTGTACAGCAATTCGTTTAGGGGCATGAGATTAAAGGTCAAATGCAGATGCAATCCACACTTCAGATTTTCATTAGGAAAAGGTTTGGAAAAACAAGCAATTGTTCTTCACTTCAGTTACTCACTTATTTGTATTAGCCTGTCAAATAAAATCCCACAAAATGTATTGAAGTTTGTGTTTCCAATGCAATGAAATAAAAAGAAAAATAGTTCAAGAGTTAGGAACACCTTAGTAATAAACAAGAATGATTAAATAATGACTATTTTCTTGTTGTTGTTTGCTTTTTGTGTATCTTCATTTCTTATTTGCTGCCATGACCCAGGCTTTCTTCCAAGTCATTTAGATGATTTCTTTTTTTTTTTTCTTAATACTTTGATTTTCATTGGGGTGGTCTCCTGCATGGAGCCTCATGAGCTCACTTTTGTTTGGTAAAGAACCCAGAAATTGCTGAATTGTGTCAACTGCCAAAAATGTTGGTGAACCACATAGTGCTGGCAGATGTTAAAAGGATAACTTCAGAAGAAAACCTTGCAGGGTCTTACAACGTATGGCCGGCTACTATTTAGCTTATTTATCCATAGTAATATGCGTTTTTCTTTGCGTAACGTCTCCAGTGTGTATGTAAAAATTAAGTGTGCGTTGTAATAACGTAAAAATTGAAATGTGCCTCACCGAGTATGAATAGCAGCAAACTCTGAATCAGTAGTTAAGCACTTAGTGAGGGAAAAATAATGGTAATTTCAAAGGAAACAGACAGTGGTTGAACTCCTCACCCTGCAGATGAATGTGAGTTTGAGTAGGCCTGTGAATCAGAGCCCCCAACCAAATCAAAGACGCTTTTCATTAGCGCAGTGTTAAATGAGCCATGTGTTAGATTAGCAAGGAAGCTCCACTGATAATCACCAGACATGCAAATAAAATTTCACAAACACATTATATCATACACAGACATGCACATTTCAAGGCAAAAGCAGCAGCCTTTTAATTTTCTTTTTTTTTCCCTAAGTGAAGTAACTAAGTTATGTGAAGCACAAATACAAGAGGAAATAAAAACCGCATCTTTTACCTTCTGATTTTCCCAACAAACTTGTGTTATCTAGAAGCAGAACTCATTTCAGGACCATCTTTTCTTCTCTAGACTGACTCATCTCACTCCTGCCTCATTCAGAATATACCTCAGTTAATATAAAGGGTCACAGCCAACATAATTTAAGTCAAAGCTATGTTTTATGTAGCTTAATGCAGAACATTGCTAATGAACATAAAAAATTCCCAGCAATAGCCCAGTTAGCTTCACCACATTGTACTAAAATTACTATTTTATCTAGATACATCTCACATTTTAGTGTGCCTATTGGGAAATAAAGAAAGTTTTCAGAAAACTAAGACGATAATGAATGAATTTCAGCACCTCAGGATCGCTAAGGATCAGCATATCAAACGAGGATTCAAAAGTTCGTCTCTTTTATGTAAATCCGTCTATAGTGCAAGAGGGATTTCACATGATAAATGATGCAGGTGAGCTCATATTTTCTTTTAGCAGATTTTAAATATTATCACCATTAACGTAAAACAAAATTAAGGCATTGAGAGCTCTTACACTTGAAGAACTGTAGCTGTTTTACTGTGATTAGAGCTACAATCCCTCTAAGTAATTCATGCTAACCTTACATGAATAACTAAATATATTCACTATTATTTCTTTAATTCTGTGCTACCTCTGGCCTCCTTTGTAGCAGTTTTAGCCTCTTCTCCATGTCCGACACACATGCAGGCTTAGACAAGTCGTAAAACATTATTTTTCAACCACTCCCATCCATCATCATTATGTTTTCTCCAGTCATAGTGCACTTGTCAACTTAAAACAAATCGTCGTAGCAACAAGAGATGTAGTTTAAAGACTTGCACTGAATCTCATGGGAATGGTTATAGCATATGTGAACGCAGGTGTGAGGGAAAATGTTCAAATGACCTAAATCTGGATGATGAAGCTGTACATGTCACACATCATATGTCCTAAAAAAAGAGTTTATTTGGGTCTGAAGGCCAAATACAATTGTTAAATCATGTTTTTAATGTATTATTAATTTATCAATCAGGTTTATTTGTAAAACACAATTCAGCAACAAGGCAGTTCAAAGTGCTTTAAGTCATAAAAACAAAAATCATAAAGAACAAACGGCTAACATTTGAAACATTAATCCCTCTTATTTTGTGCATATCAAAAATATCTAGTAAAAGCATTCATTCTCACAGTAGGGGTAGTGTGTTCAGGGTAACATGCAATATAAGTTTCAAGTGATATTTTACACCTGGGCCTAAAAGTTCAATGTTGGCATCATTTTGTCAGAGCACGGTATTCCACATATTTGCTCATCTTGTGCCAAACTGGAAATTGGACTTCATGTGGCTTTCTTTCTACAATGGTTTTCTTCTCCCAGATTTCCATTTTTGGATTTGGGTTTAAAACAGAGCTCTGTGAGAATTTCTAAGTTTTTGATATTGTTTTGCAACCTAAACCTCATTTAATTTTCTCCAGAACGTCATCCTTTTTTTATCTTTTTGGTCTTTATAATGCTGAATGTTCACTGGGGCCTTTACAGAACAGCTCTTTTTCTACAAAGCTTAAATTACACACCTATGTACTAATTTGATGACTTTCAAAATGCCATTGCTTGCCCTGGATTTTTAGTTAGAAGTATCAGACTGACGGCTGAATGATTATTTCTCCTCAATGATTTGCATTCAGACCCACATATTCATTTTCAACCCTAGTTCTTAATTATGCACCCATTTGTATTGCTCAATCATATCCAATCAAAGTAGAATTCAGTAAAATGTTTGGATGTAGCATGATAACAGGTGGAAACCATTAAAAGGTCGATCAAGCAGTAAAAAAAAAAAAAAAATCTGATGTTTTTTTAGGGAACAGACAACGGCTTGCATTAGGGATTGCTCAACAAGCAGGGTCTACAAATGTCTGTCTTATCAATATATCTGCTGTGCTTAAAGATCACATTGTCCATAAAAATTCTCGGATAGCTCAAGGTCTTTAAAGCACCGACTTAGTCAGCTCTATAATATTGTTACATAATTAATACATCACTGTGATTTTTCTCATCTCCAAATGTGCCCCCATCAGAGATGATTAAAAGTTCCCATGTGGTCTGTTTGAAGTCGTAATTCTGCAGTGGGGGATTATAAGACCTTGGCTGGAGTCCGGAAGAAAGAGTATCAGATTTGTGATTTTATTTCAAATGAGTGCTTAAATCTTGGTCTTTCATATTAGCAGAGCTCCTATTGAGATAGAAACCCCAATCTGATCAAGTCTCATTACTTTAGCAATCAAAGTTTCACCCCTGGGGTACTCCCTTCAACTGCTGCTTCCCACCTCCTTCAATTGCAACTGCTTTTTCTCTCCTCACTGTCATCTGTTTTTTTTTTTTTTTTTGCTACCAAGCTACTGGAGAGGAAAAAAGGCTGATGTGCAAATCCTTGATTGGCCAGTCTATCCTCCTTCAAGGATTAGGAAAAAAATGAAAAATTTAAGGACAAAGAAAGAAGGAATGAGATGGAAAGAGACAGAGAGAAAGGGACAGACAGTGTATTAAAGAGAGATGTGAATTTTAGAGTTAGTACCACACAGAGGAAAGGAGAGGGAAAGGGAGAGGACGGCTAATATAATTGAATTAAAAAGATGGAGCGGGGCCGTTTCTAAGCAGGTGGGAGTGTGGAGTGAGAAAGAGCAGGCGAGATATTAACTTCTAATAAAAGAGAGATTAGAAAGTGGGTAGGAGGACTGCTCTGTCTTTACCTGTGGGAGTGACGCCCCCCACATAACCTTTCAATGCAATATGCACACTGATATTGGCCACCGTGCTCAAATCATATCGCACACAGACAAACACACAAGCATGCTTGCAGTGGGCTGTATTTTTATGTGTTTGCATCCAAATTTATGCCATATGCAGTAAACGCATAAAAAAAAAGAGAAGGGAAAAAAAAAAATCTATGACATCTGTGGAGATATATTGGCACGCACAGATCGTGTTACCAGCTCTCATTCAAAATTCCAACAGGCGGTATTCATCAGATAATGAAGACACAGCTCTCTGGGAAGCCTCTGCCATACAGACAATTAATTAACTAATTGCTCTAATGAGCTTGTTGATGCCATGCTTTTTTGGCAGCCTGTGTGAATACATTAACGAGGCTAATTCAATTAAACAGGTGCAGCTTTCACAGCTGCCTCTCTCATGGGCACGCACACACACGCGCCCGCAGACACACAAGGCCACGCGAATCCTACAGGTGCTAGTGTGCACGTTCGCTCCGTTTGACACTGATGTCTTTCTCACCGAAACCTTGGCATTCGATCAAAAGCGTAATGATATGCAGATCAAGTGGTGTGTGCTGGTGCATTTGTGTGCGCATATCTGCCAGTGCTTATGCCTCAATGGGCCGTGTGCCACTGAATCAAAAGCACGGCTCAATAAGCTGTACCAGCGGTGCTAATCTGTATAATTGCAAAAGGTATAATATAAGTGGGTGGGGAAACTGATTGAGGCACGGAGACGGCGCAGTTAAATTAGCAAACAGAATCTGAGGGGGTAAACCGTTAATGTTAGCCGAGGTTGTGCAGTGAGATACTGTTCAGCTCATTGAACATTTTCAGATCTGAAGGGGAATTTTTTATTTTTTTTTTTTACTTTTTTGGGGGGTTTTTGTAGCATTGTCTTGTCCTAAAGCAGACTGCATTTACAAACAACATACATGGTCAAGATCAGTACAGCATTGATTCTTCAAAAGGTGCATCTATGGAATTTTGTTAAATATGTTTCAGTTGTATACAAGCGTTGCAAACTGAGTAACAGCATGATTGCAGACATCTTACCTTATGTTTCACTCCATTAACTTCCTCATATAGCTGATTAATCTTCCCTCTCTTCTTTCTCCATCCTTCTCTCATAGCTTCAGCGCTCGTCCTTCAAACCCCCCCTTTCCCCATTCTGAGTAAAAAAAAAAAAAAAAAAAAGAGACAAGTTCATATTCATATGTCATAATAAGCTGCTGTCAGAGTCACAGCACCATCAGTTCACTTTTAATTTTGTTTTCTGCCTTTTAATCATTTGGAAGTGATAGTTTACGTGATAAACGGGTGTAAAGTCAGCACAAAGTAGGTTTGTTTTAAATTTTTACTTGCCACACAACAGAACAAGCTCAATATATGTATGTGCTTGGATTATTCTTGATTACGTCCAGCCACACGTACAGAGTGTAACAAGCACATTATGTTTACATTATGTTTGCAAAACTGTTTAGTCAGCAGTTTTATTTATAAATGTCGCTTTGAGGCATTGTGTTGAAAATGCTACCCTATCTTAGTTCTACAGGTTTCTAAATTCATTGCATCCCAAACAAGAATGACATTGTGACCACTGACGGCTGGAAGTGGGTTCCAGTGATCATTTCTTCATTGGGTCGCCTGCTGGTGGGATACATTAGGAAGCAGATGGGTGGTGTTTAACATATTTTACAGAAAATTCCACTTTGTAGTTAAACTCCTGGATTGCTACATTCACCTCAGTCATTTCTGTCAACTTGGAGCACTTGTCTGACGTTCTTCAAAAACCACATATCTTTAAAAATGGATACTCTTCCAGGGGCTTATGGTGATGATCTGCTTCACATTGATCTTATTTTGATAGCCGTATGTCATTGTGTCTCAGTTTGGCAGATGCTTTATGTGCTCCACCCTCACAGGCGGACAAAAGTGTTGAGGTGGGTGGTTGGCTGAACTCCCTTGAAGACGATACTACTGATTAATTTCCCTCCTCTTCATCACCTCCACACCTCTCCTCCCCCCATCACAGGGTCTGCTTTCTGCGACCCTCCCCCAGCCCCTTCAGCCAATGTAGAATATTAAATCAGTCTCCCTTTTTTAATTTCATGATATCCACTGTTCATTTTTCTTCCAGTGTCATCCAGCCATGACATGGTGTAGCAGCCTTTGTGTTAGCAATGGCTGATGCGAGTCATTGTTTCTGTTTGCTGCTTGCGTGTACGACTGAATGTGGATCGCGGCTAAATCATTACCTTTGCATGTGCCACAAGTAACGCACAAGACCATTAGTGATTTGCCCTAAAATTGTCTTTTTAGGCATGTTCATGTTTCTGTGTTTGAGCACCAAACAGCACAAAAGGTTGGTTTAAACTATAGCATCAATTTTGCCAGTGGTGTCTTCACTCTGTTTCCTCTTAGCAAATACTGTAGTCTTTCTTGCCTGTGTGTACATACCAGCTAGGCAAGAGGGAAACATAAGTGTACCTATACAGCTGTAGTAAGTTTACAGATGATTTCTTATTTGTTTTGTTTTTTTTTTGTTTTTGTTTTTTTTGGGGGGGGGTCGCTAGGGGGCATCACTGAGAAGCAGAAATAAAATAAAACGCTCAACGAACTGCAACAGCAAAGCATGCAATTTTGCATAATATATACACAGCACATAGACTGCAGCGCATCTATTACTCTGTATGAATTCAGTGTGTAGATGCACATTCAACGAGATTTTTAAACACAAACATGCACACTGACACTCTCTGTGGGGTCATCACTCACTGTCCCAGCAGCAAATGAAATCTCATTCTCTCTAACAATCTCAGTAGAGGACTCCAAAATATCTCGCTCTCTTCTTGCATCAGTGCCCTTCCTTCATGTTCTGATTTTTTTTTTCCCACCAAGTCAGACCCCGCTATTCCTTTACCAGTCCACAAAATAAAAAAATAATAAAAAAAAACATTTAATGTATTTGTGAAATGCACATGGTGTGCAGAGAGCATTGCATGTCTAATTTGTGCTCTCTTTTACCTTCCCGTCAGCTTGATTACATGTATTCACTTTGCCACCCCTACACTTGGCTTTTACCATAATGTTACAAACACTGGGTGCTCCCAGGTTTTTCGTATTCTCCTCTCTTGCATTGTTGTGTGCCTTCCAATCATCATATTACTTCGCATCACCTTGCTTGCATTGCCTGCAACCTCGCCCTGGAAACTGGGGAAGTGAGAAGTGATTTGGAAAAATGAGGGCAATAAAAAAAAAAAAAAAACACAGGGATGAATGGGGAGATGTGATATAAGGTAATATGCTAACCCAATCAACAGTCTGCTGTTTTCCGACAGTATAATCAACATATCGGCCTAATGTCATTACAGCTATATGAGAAATAATATTGCATGAAATAATACTCCATGGTGTGTGCATCTGTGTGCTTGTGTGGCGCACACATGAACAAGCTCACACATCAAGATGTATGTATCAGCTGCCCAATCCCTTCAGCAGGGAGACAAAGAGATGCAAAGTGTCAGACTGATGCAGAGAGCCAAAAAATTACCACATGTAATAATGTATATAGAATAAATATACATTTGCTTTGTATTTGGTGACCTTGCTTAAAAAAAAAAAAACGTGTCTCAGATGCAAGTAGAAGAAGATGGTGACAGTAAGATTTTTACCACCACAAATTTTCAATGTAGCTGTATTTTTTGAAATATATTCTTATCCCTACTTCATGCAGGATGAAACATCATGCAAACATCGACTACCTTAAGCAGTCAGCGCTCAGAGAGCTAACCAGATGATTCCTTATCAGTTTTTACCAGTTTGTTAGATTTCTTGGATTAGTGACATTGCAGTCAAGAGTCTACTCTTTCACAGCAGAACAGCCTAACTGATAAGCAAACCCAATGAATGAAAAAGTCTGACGAGCATTTTGTTCAAAAGCATCAACATCTTCACAGTATGCTTTGAACTTCAAATAAAAAGCGCTTGATGCCACAATTCCCTTGGCATATATTAAACATTATTTTAATAATATCTCAATAATGTGATGAACTTAATACAACAATCATGACCCCAAATTTTCATGTTGTTAATTATTTAGGTTTAGATCGAAAAAAGCACAATTAAACAAACACTAAGAGTCATTTTACATCATAAAGTATTTTAAGTTGCTTCAAATTGCAATAGTCTGCAAAAAGAGACAAGTTAGGTGGAATCAGTACTCATTATGTTCTTATACACAGTCAAACACTGTAGGTTTATATAGTCACACACCCAAACTGCCCACTAGCCCTGACACAAGAGGATATTAGTTAGTGTGTGACTTCCATATCCTGAATGCATGAGGCCGCTGATGGCCTCTATTGATGGACACTGGCGTGAAGCCATCACTCAAGTTATGGAGCTTTAATTGGAGACAGCATAAAACGATAAACCAAGAAACATGCATGACTGAACAGCCCAATGTAAACCATTAATCATAGCGTAGGCAAAGACAAGTGGCCGCCACAGACGCACACGCAGACAGGTCTCTGTGTGCACACTCACAGCTGCAAAGGCAAAGGCTCACACTGGTGTTCGGCCACACACCTAGCATGTGTGCCTGACACACACATACACACACGCGCGCGCACGCACACACACGAAAACACACGGAGCATGGTGGAGACAAGAGTCCCAGTCACATATTCTCATGATAGATGACCCATTTAACTTTGATTTCTGAGAGAAATGAGCTTGCCAGCGATGCGGGGTTACCACACAGGCACACTGCACACACACACACGTACTCACTCATTCATAATACTCACTATGCACAAGCTACATATATGAACTTACTATGTACATTATTTTGTATGTAAATAACGGTGCGTTTCATTTTGAAGACCTGAATTCAAAACCGCTTTCTCTCCGTCTTGCTGACACACACACACACACACGCACACAAACACGCAGGGCTACTTATTTATGTGATGGCTTAAAACATGGGGGAGATTTACAGTGTGAGCAATTGACTGTTTCTTCAATAAAATAAACTTACACACTCATATCAGTATGTAAAAGGAGAAAATTCACTGGGAGCATGTGATTTACAGCACATAGATTTTGCAAAGAAACAACAGATACAGAGAATCTCACATTTCTTCCCAACACTTCTGTTACTTAATCACCCAGACAAATGAAAAGTGGCTTTTAAATATACTGTTCAAATATAAACAACTCTAATTAAAATGGCATCATACAAAATCTATGAACTTTTTTAAGAATTAATAGATGTGATTGTGAGATTAGTTAGAAAAGCACTCAGTGAGTTTATTTAACCATTATAAAAGTGAATACAACTCATGTTCCCTTCTAAGTTCTCAGGGTATTATTAATGTGGTTTTAACTGGGTTCCAAAATAAATGTTAAAAAGCCAAAGCATAGACTTTTTCTTTCTCCACTCTTAAAAAAAATAGAGCCAAAAAGTTTATGTAATATTAAGCACCAACCCCATGAAAGAAACTTTAACTAAATACAATTCTAAATATAAAAAAAAAACATAGCATAAGGTATGTGAATCAGAGAAAATAATAAGACTTGCTGAATTTACAAAATAAATAAATAAATAAATAAATAAAAAAACAGGAACAATTTACCGCAAAATCAAATTTCAGGATATTTTTAAGCAATTTGGTCTTTTTTCCTTAAACTTCTAGCATCCTGTCAGTCATGAAAATACATAATTCTGCTGACACTGTAAATGAAAGAAAAGACTGCTGTGGATATTTACAGAATTGTATAGGGACAGCCTTTTTTTTTTCCTTTTTATTTTAGCGAACTGCCTAATTAGAAAACTAGTAAGTTACTCAACTTATATGACTATAAATATGAATTCTTCAGCTAAGATCTGGAGCTGTGTCATCTTATGAAAAGATAGCAGAGAATTACAATCATTTCAAGGTCTCAGAATCTGTCAGGAAAAAGGCCAATACTCTACCAGGAAAAAAAAAAAAAAAAAGGGGGGGAGAAATTATAAGCATTTTCTGCCTGTGTTATTTCAAAAATACTTTTGAAAACAAGTGTTTCTGCAACCGAATGCTCAATTTGCTCCAAAGATCAATTACCTTCTTGTGAGTAACAATGCAGCAGTTGGAGTTCTTGTATTGTACAATAGAAATTCTTAGCACC